TATATATATATACATATATACCTATATATATATGTATGTATGTATGCATGTATACATCTGTCCATGTATGTGTATGTGTATGTGTATTTGTCATAGTTACCAGAAGCAATTCGGAAACCGAATCGATTTAGGAATCGGAAGCACATAATTGCCTCTGGCTTGAAGATTCCTATTTTTGGAATCAATGTCTGTACAAGAGGAATCATGGGGTACAGGATTCCTATTTTTAGGAATTGAGATTTGACCAAAATAGAATCGAGATCCCTCCATAGATGTACCTAGCTCTTTGGAATTAGGGGTGGTAACAGGTCGGGTACGGGTTGGTTTTGGTTAGAATCAGACTTAGTCTCGAATAGTATTCGGGTCCAGGTTTTGGACCCTCGGGTTCCGGATCTAGTCGGGTCCATTGTCACTTTCACTATGAGCTTCTTTTTTGTTTTTTTTGTTTGTTGCCATTCTTTTACGATCATATACCCATACTATGAGTTCTTATTATATACAATCCTTAACACACCCCAACGAATAAAGCTTGAATTATTTTATCTCAAACAGTTTACGTGTAAATGTTGGACCCATACCTGGACCCATGTCGAGTATACTCGGCGGGTCCCAGGTCGGGTCCCGGTCCATTGCACCCCTATTTGGAATCAAGTTTTGGACCTAGTTGGAATTAACCAATATGCAATTGAGATTCCTTCATTTATGGAATCGAGATTCTAACATCTTTAGAATATGAGAGAGAACTGAGAGGGAAATAATGCATGTTTCAATGTCATTCTTTGACCGACATACCATGCATGCACGTTTACATTATTTATATTACGTTATTTCTAACATCTTGGAGTTGCAATATCTTCATTGGATCAATATATTATGTAAAGATTTAAATAGAGAACAAGGACCACCACTTTGATTTCTATTGGTCATTTTATGCCAAAAAAGGTGATTATACCCTACAGCTTGAGATTGAGTATCCACCTTGAGTAGTTTGATGCCTTGAAAGCTTCTAAACATGACTTCTCAAAAAAAAAAAAAAAAAAACCGGATGGGGGGAGGGCGGGGGGAAGTTGTAGAATTCCAGTAAATATGGAAACCAATTTCAACAAGTGTAGAATCTCGATTCACCAATTGCGGAATCGATGATCAGTAAATATTAGAAACGAGATTCTATAAGTGTTGGAATTGAGATTCTTGGCTTAACGGAAGCGGGTCTTAAAAGATTCCTAGTCGGAATCGCTGAATCAGGGTTCTGAATCGGAAGAGATTCGGGTAACTATAGTATGTATAACATGTATGTATGTATTTGTATGTGTGTGTATGTATATATGTACGTATGGATATGTGTTCATTGTAAGAACTTGTATGGAGGTGCTGTGCTGGACTTGGCAAATTATAGGTACGTGAGTTGGATTCTTGAAATCTGAGTCAGGTGTGGATTCTTGTATCTGTGTTCTTGTAACATAGTTTATCATATACTGTGCTTGGAACCAGTAAATGGCCTTCCCGTAGCAGGTGGATACAGGATACCCTGATTCCATCTCTTTAGAATGTAGAGTCCCACTGCAAAGTCATGACCACTTCACTTATGGACTTGTGCCAGTTGCCACACCATACTGATCTAGGATAGCTGGTATCTCCAAGCCAACTGTATGAGCGGTTGCCTTCTGCTCATTGCCCATCCTCAAATCAACCTCAATTGGATGGTTTGAGGTTAATTAAAATAGAACCAAATCTCTCCACATGCGGAACCTTGCCCGCAGGTTGTGGTGTTGGGGTGGGGCAGTGGTTTCTTAGATAATTTTCTTATTCAATGGATAATATTGGGTTATAGGTGCTTAGTTGAACACTTTGTGCTCAAGATTCTATAACAATCTTGTTGTCTTATGTGAATTGCTAGGTTTATGTTCTTTCTATTAGCTGCTTTTCTAGTTATTTTTGCTAGTAATCTTGACCTCATATATTATTGAGTGGTCAAAGCTACACTTCCCTGCATTTTTCTTGACGTGAATCTCCAGTAATAGGCCTTTCTGTTTAATATATGTTTGACTTGGTTCATTTCATTCTTAATGTTTCTTTCAGGCTGTTTTAAGAGAATATAATGAACAAAGCAAAAGATCAATTTTCGACCTTGTCCAGTGCAAGTTGACCTTACATTATGATTACTGGCAAATGAATGAGGTATTAGTCATTCGGCTCTACAAGTGTTTCATGCCTGCTAAGGGCCTGAAATAAAAACAATTTCAAGGAGGAAACTAGTAGGCGTTTTTATTGAAGAACTTACCGGTGTTGTATGATTTTAATAATCTTCTGTTATTTTAATTCCTTTTGCTTCTCTATCCTTCTAATTAGTGTCCTTTTTTGGTAGTTAAGCTTACTTGTTAGTTTAATGTGCTTCCTTTATAAAGCTGTTTTTTTGGTAAAGTTTCGCAACTGTTATTTTTTTCTCAACTACTTGGTGATAGAAAAAATGTGGCCCCTGAGTAGTAATGTAATCAAAATATGCATGACAGATACTAGAGGCTTTGCTACCAAAGGGCATCATTGTTCCAGCAGCATTTGAAATGGTTGGTCACATTGCACATTTGAACTTAAGGGATGAGCATCTTCCTTTTCGTAAATTGATTGCAAAGGTAGTTCTATACCATTTTACATAAAATTTATGCGTTAATATATTTACATCTACTCTATATCTTATTGTAGAGGGGATTTTTCTTTTTGTCTCAGGTGGTACTCGATAAGAACCAGCCAAAGATTCAGACTGTTGTTAATAAGATTGATTCAATTCAAAATGATTATAGAACAATGCAGCTTGAGGTTTTAGCTGGAAACCACTCCCTAGTAACTACTGTCATTGAAAATGGACTTCGTTTTCAAGTTGACTTAGCTACAGTGTATGTTTCCCCACAAACTCATTAAATTGTTTCCGCACGACCTCATTTAATTTGGATTTGTATTTCAGTTTAGGATTTTAATGTTCTTTTTGTTTTGTGCAAACAAAAAAAATGAAAAAGACTTTCCTTGGAAACTACCATTTATGATGGGCTTCCCATTTCCAATCTGCAAGGTTGTGTTTCGAGAGCAAAACTGCTGGGGGAGCCCTCTTCTCTTGGGAATATGGTTCCCTTCATCTTGGGAATATGCTTCTCTACTCTCAGGGATTGAGTCCAAGGAAAATATTATTTGAAGATGCTAAAACTGCAAAAGAAGCAAAATTCAACTTTGACTCTATGGCTGTGTTCGGGAATGAAAAGATATGCATGATAAACAAGTAAATTCTGATAATAACTGAATTATATAAGCATCTGAAGGACATAGCATTCAAATGAAAATGAATTTATAACTATTGCTTCCATCTTACCACTAATTTTTCTTATTTTAGCTAATATTGAAGAAGGTATTATTTAAGAAAATAATTTTCTTCATTTAACAATGAGTGGCTTGATGGAGGCTTTAACCTAATTATTCTTAAGAATGGGATAGGGAAAAGGTTACCCTCTCCCTGTGAAAAGCAAGATGGGGGGCTCTCCCTCACTGATCCCCATTAATTAATGGAGGCGGTGAGGTGTTAGTGAGGAGTATTAAGGATGCCATGCTCTTGTTATTGTCAGTTGTCTCTACATCAGATGAATTGGCTGTGTTTACTTTTTCTCTGCTGGGTTGTAACTCATCCATGTTTAACTTCTTTTTAGTCCAATATGATGGACTTGACTAAGAGAGTTCTACACGATCGTTGTCATCATCATCATTGTCGTCATTTGAATCTTATCCCGACTATTTTGGTTCGGCTGCGGGAATTCTGTTCTGCCATTCCGCTTTATCAAGGACCATAACCTCAGTTGAACTATAAGTCACTATATCTCCTCACTGCTTCCATCTATGTCCTTTTATGCCTTCCCTTTGCTCTACTCCTTACTCTATTACAACCTTCCACTAGAACCAAATCGCCAAGAGTTCTACATGACCGAGTTGTATTGTATTGCCTACATGGCCAAGTTTTTTTAGATTTATGGTTTTCTGTTTTTTGTTTGGCTTTGCTTTGTGGATCAATCTGTTTTTCTAGGTTGCTATGCCTCATTGTAACCTCCTAAAAGAGGATTTTGATTCCACTTTTCTGGTTTGTTTGACCCTTGAGCATCCTCTTCTATGGATCGCCAAGGTCTCTTGTACTGATTCTTTTTTTATTAAAGTTGACATTTTCAAAAAAAAAAAAAACTCACATTTAAGCTCCAAATCTCATTCTTTACCGAGTTGTACTTCCTTTTACAAAATTTGAGCTATTTCTTTAGTGCATTTAAGATGTTCCATCAGTCATGATTTCTTACTTTTAGGTTCATGCAGATATTGGAATTCAAGGCTTTCAACAGAGAGGCAAAGGCTTGTTAGCAGCTTTGCTAGCGACGACATTGTTTGTAAGTTATTTTGTTCGTATTGGCTGTTTTAATTTTTATCACATGTTTCTGAGGTTCCTGTTGGAATGCTTGTTTTCTCGCCTATGTTACTTGAAGATGATGAGATTGCGAGTTGAGAAATTTCGTATCTTTCTTTAATCTCTCTTTACAATATGTGCGACTTTTTCTTTATAATATGTGCATTAATCAACTCTCAAACTTTTCCTTGGCTAATTGTTGGGATTTTAAAGTTCAATGTAATGAATTTAATGTTGTTAACTATGGAGTTTATATTCATATAAACATGACCTAGACATACTTGGAGGTCCATTCTAGCAAATTTGTGTGGTCATATGTTGTTTCTGGGGAAGTATTTACCTGAGGTTGTTTCACTCATATCTTGTTTCATGTCCAAGTTACCTAATGTTGGTCATTCTCACTAGTCAAGGTTTTGATGGCAAATTTAATGGTTTAAATTTGTGTTTTAGAATCATGACGCATTGGTGAGCCACTAGTAGTAGCTGATTCATTGGGATTTAATCTCCTTCGTATAGCCATAAAATATGTGTGTTGCCCTCTGTATTGAAATTTTAAGTACTACTTGATCGCTTTGTTTTGTGCCATTTAGAGAGCCAATTTTTTTAGGGTTTATTTGACATCATTGCATACCAGATAAATGGCAGCGGTTGGTTGGCCTTTGTTGGAGATTATTACAACTTTCACTACAATCACTTGTGCAGTTGGACAACAATTCTTTAAGCCATTATCTAGACTTCTTTTTTAGTGGTGTTTCCTTGCTTTATCCTGGAGACATCCATGTTATCTTATCGTGGGATCTAGGACAATTTCTATTCCAGGTTTTGCTCAAGTTTATTATGAAGCGACCTGGACCCTTGATCCATGTGTTTGATAATGGTCCTTGCCAAATGGTGACATTACTATTACCAAGGCTTCTAGCCAAGCAGCACATATGGTTTCCATTGGAACCTGTCTAGATATAGGCAAAGTGATAAGTTTTGGCAAAATTTTACATTGGCTGCCTACCTAACACAACCCAGCCCTTTTACCTGGGCGTGGTACAGGTTAAGGGAAAGTTTAAGGTCACCACTCTTCTTAGACTTGAGATATAAGCAAAGTAGTTGACTTAATATGTGATATATTTTCACTTAGGAGTTAGCTTTGTAAAAAGCTTGTAATACTGTGTTTGAAATTTGAAACATCAGTGGTTATTTATGGGCAGAATGAGTTGCAAAAGACGATTTAGATAGAGTTGGAATTGCTAGTACAAGATCAATATCATCATCATCATTTTAACCTTTTCCCAATTAATTGGGGTCGACTACATGAATCCTGGTTCTCCATTTTGTTCTATTAAAGGTCATCTCCTCAGTGAGGTCGTAAGTCCCCATATCTTTTCGAACTACTTCCAACCACGTCCTTTTGGGCCTCCCTTGCCCTTTTCAGTCCTTCCACTTGAACTAACTCGCACCTCCTAATAGGTGTTGTACTTGGTCAGCGCCAGACATGGCCAGCCCACCTAAGTCTACTCTCTCTCATTTTATCGCCTATTGGTGTCACGCCTAAATTCTCTCGAATTCTATCCCTTGTCTTGTCGCTCATTCATCTCAACATCCTCATGTCTGCTACACTTATTCTCTGAGTATATTGTTTTTTGTCCGTCCAACATTCTGACCCATAGAGCAAAGTTGGTCTTACCGTTGTCCAATAGAACTCGCCCTTTAACTCATTGGTATGCGACGATCACATAAAATTCCAGTTGTGCATCTCTACTTCGTGCACCCAGTTCTAATTCTGTGTGCGACATCTTCCTCAATCTCTCAATTTTTTGGATTATCGAACTAAGATATCAAAAGGTTTTGTACTTCATGGTCGTCAATTTTGACTACTTTCTCATCTCTAGTCCCATTATTACTAAACTTGCACTCCATATACTCTGTTTAGTCCGACTAATTTTAAAACCTCTGGATTCTAGAGCATCCCTCCAAAGTTCTAACTTTGTGTTGACACCGTTTCGAGTCTCATCAATCAAAACTATATCATCTGCGAACAACATGTACCACGGTATAAAACTTACACTGTTAAGTTTTATAACTTAATCTTTTTTCGTCAATGGCCTTCTGAGCCTCATCATTTCACCACCAAGTTTCCTTATCGATGCTTCTTTTCCCTCTAGAGTCTCTTAAAACCCTTTTTGCCACTTTCTTGATACATCCAACTATCTCATTCCATATTACATTGACATCATGTTCAGAGTTCTATTTTCCTTTTTCAATTAATATATCCCTAAATAAGTCTATTTTCTCATTTTTAAAATTCCACCCCTTGTCCTCCACGTCTTTATGCAGATGTCTATGATGACGAGCCTATGTTGGGTAGTCAAACTCTCTACTGGGATAACTTTGCAGCGTTTACATAATGGTTGATCTACCTTCTTAATTAGAAAGAGGTCTATCTGGCTTTTATGTGTTCCACTTTTATAGGTTATTGAATGTTCATTTCGCTTTTTAAAGTAAGTGTTTGCTATTGCTAGGTCATAGGCTATAACAAAATCTAGAATAGTCTCACCCATCTCATTTCTTTCCCCAATCCTATATCCCCCATGTGCCCCTTCATATCCTCTACTATCCTTCTCTACATGACCATTTAGGTCCCCTCCTAATAAGGTTCTTTCTCCATTTGATATGTTTTGGACTATTCCATCTATATCCTCCTAAAATTGTCTCTTACTTCTATCATCTAATCCTACTTGGTGCATAACCGTTAATTACGTTAATTATCTCTTCTCCTAATACGAGCTTAATTAATAAGAGCCTATTGCCTATTCTTTTAATATTAACTACTTTATCTTTTAAATATTTATCTACTATTATACCTATGCCATTTTTATTATTCTCCTTTCATGTATACCACAGTTTATACCCATCTATTTTTTTAGCTTTTTCTCCTTTCCATTTGGTTTCCTATAGACAAGCTATGTTTATTTTCCTTTGTCTCATTGTATCCAATAACTCCATGCTCTTACTTATAAGCGTTCATACGTTCTATGTGGCTAAACAAATCCTATTCTCCTGGACTAGCTTCTTTATTCGCGCTCGTTCAGGATGTCGCGGGAACCTTTGCCTATTTTTCACTACAACCGTACGCGGCTACTGCGCGTCGCTTCTGGGGAATGCCCTAGCTAATCCTTGCTCATTTCTCACTGTACCTGAGGTCCAGTACAACGCATCGTTTTTGAGGAACGCCCTAGCTACCCCTTGCTCATTTCTCACTGTATCTGGGTTCTGGTACAACGCGTCGCTTATGGGGATCGCCCTAGCATAAGCAAATACTATAAGTTGACCATGATGAGTTTTGGCCAAATTTTACGTTGGCTGCCTACCCAGTGATTAAAAAAGCGCGCCGCCCAGAGCCTAGGCGGTCCAAGCCAAGGCTAGGCGGTCTAGGCCAGGGCTAGGCGGGCGGTCCCTGGGTGGCTGCTTAAGCGGTACGGCACCCACTTAGGCAGGCGGCCTGCCCAGGGGCGGAAATGGATTTTGTTGAGGGTTGTTTTGGGGGGAAAAAGAATTATTTTTTAAAGATGGGTTTTAGGTTCATTTAAAACCTAAACCCACAAGAACCCATTTTAGAGAGAGAGAAACCTAAAAAAAAAACTAGATTATGTGATTTTCATTGGAACGAAGTGTTTTTCAATGTTATGGGAAATGGATCCAAACATCACCCATTAAGATTAGATTTAGTTTCGAAATTTTTTTAGTCCTATTAGAGGGTGTTTTTTAATATTTTAGCATCAGAAAACATCTCAGAGGTGGAAGTTTGGAGTTGGAGCAGTCAAAGTAAGTGCAAAACTATATTTTTTATATTGCTTGTAACATTTTGAGATGTCTTCTTTAGGATCTAGTCAAAGTGGTGAATCGGGTTGGAAATATGGATATAACTCGAATCCGAATGACAAAAATTGCATAAGATGCAATTATTGTAAAAATGATACAAAAGGGACATAAACCGATTTAAGAAACATCTTGTCGGTATAAAGGGGAATGTTGCCCCTTGTAAAAATGTTCCTGAAGCTATTTGAGAGGGGATTAACCAATATATGAGGTCAGTAAAACACAAACAGGAACAAAATCCTTTTAGTTTGGATAGGTCTATTTCTGGTTTTACTAGAAGAAGTGACCCAGGTTGGAAGTATGATTATAATCCGAAACCAAATGATAAAAATTGTATAAGGTGTAATTTTGGTGAAAAGATACCTATAGGGGTATTAACCGATTCGAGAAACACCTTACCGGTATTAAAGGGAATGTTGCTTCTTGTAAAAAAAGTTCCTAAAGCTATTTGGGATGAGATTAGACAATATTTAAATTTAGTAGAACCAGAAAAGGATGAAAATGAGCCTTATCCTATGGAGATATCTCTTGCAGATTCTTCTAGAAGTGGTGATCCGGGTTGGAAGTATAGTCATTACCTGAATCTGAATGACAAAAATCGTATTAAATATAATTATTGTGGAAATGATACTAATGGGGGTATTTACCGGTTCAAAAAATACCTTGTCGGTATTAAGGGGAATGTTGCTTCGTGTAACAATGTTCCTGAGGCTACCAGGGAGGAGATTATACAATATTTGAGTTCAGGGAAGCACAAAAAGATAGAAAACGGTAGAGAAGCCAAGACTCCTAGGGCCTCATCTGCATAGAGTAAGGAGGTAGAAGAAGAGGAGGAAGAGGCAGATTCAGAAGAAACAGAGGAGGACGATCGTTATGTTGAAGAGGGAGATGATTGATGATGGTGGTCTCAAATCTGATGCATATGATGAGGTTTACCCTACTCTTTCTGATGATGATGATGATGACTGAAGAATGAAGAGTGGAAGACGCTTGAATCTTGGTGTTGACTGTTGACTAGTCCTAGACTGTATATTATCTGAATTTTTGTATATTTTCTTTTTCCTATTTTTAGTTTCTAGTTTCTACTATCTAACTCTTGTATGTATGCTTGTA